TGATTAGATAACAGAGTAAAAATCACCTTTGAGTTATGATCAGTACCAAGATCCACCATCTTAAGAATACACTAAGCTAAGTATTATTTTATTTTTGTTGAATTTATTTAAGAAAGGACAAAGTCATCATTTTTATTTGAGCTTGAAAGTAATACTTGAAATTAGTATTAAAAAATTGGTTTAATTTTGGCAGCAATATCAAAAATTTAAGTAATGGACTGTATATTTCTTCTTCAATTTTGCATTTTAGAATTTGTAAAAGATTAAAAACATGCAGGCATCTTTCTAGTGTTTCCATATTGGTAGGGAACACAACTGGTATCTTCACTATGAGAGTCAGTATAGGGTTAAGTACAACAATTAAGGAATCTAATGCACCTCTAGGTGCTACTTTGTGTGATTCAGGTAAACAAGTGTGGCTAGTCTGTCTCACTAATGAAGTGAAGATCCACTCCTAGCTGTCTGTTTAAGCCACTTTCTTGCTGTTTCAGCACAACCATGCAGCTACACACTAGGTGAAAGAGTTGTGATGCTTTTAAAATAATTCATAACATCTAACCTGTACTGACTTTAGAAAGCAAATAAAAACTATCAATCCTCCCACCCCAGTTCCCACTTTAAAAGGCTTATTGTGGAGCTCCATTTCATCTAATCACTTGGCAACAGAGCCCAGAGTCTAAATAAAGAAAAAATAAAGAAAAAGTCCCCGGGCCAATGTGTTGCTCTCACCTTTGCAGATGAAATTACCCGAAAAGCTGTTACAAATCAATATAATCAATGCAATCAGCTAACTGACATGGGAAATCTCCTGCCAGTAAGTAAAATATCCCCGGCGGAGATCTTTCAATCTCTAGTGCCATAATTGCCCCCAAGGGCAACGTCAGGGTGTAGCATTTTGTACACTTAATTAAATTAGTGAGCTCTGTGGACAGGGTGAGTTGTTGATCTCTCAGAGAACTGATAGGTCTGGCCCTGTGCCAGTAATTAAGGCAATACCTTTCCTGATTACTCCAATCCCCCTTAATGAACTCATTATATATTTTAACCCAAACACTCCCATGAATTAATGAGCACAAAGAAAGCTTCTGGAATGAAAACACTGAACACAAGTCATAACTCATCCACTCAACAGGGTGGACGTAATGTCCATATTTCTCTCTCTTTCAGCCGCAGCCAAGGCTAATTTGGACCTGAGTGACCGCACAAGTTCCGGGTCTGCACATATAAAGCTTTAAAGAAATAGGATCCCTCCTCTGGCAAGTAACAACAGAAACTTTACTAGGCGACTTTGCAAGGTCTCACTGGAGCCATAGCTGAGTTCACTGTACTGCATTGACAAAACTTTTGAATGGTCATTTTGTACAGGTAAGACAAGCTCACACCCACATCGGGTACAAACATATGTGCAAAATGATTTAAAGAGACCCAGGAGCACTGCTGGGTGAGAGCAGCTCTGTGCTGACCCATAATGCTTTGCTAATTAAATAATTCACTAATTGATTCACTGCCAAACCTATAAAGCCTGCAGATGGTTTATGGTATAAGAGCTAAAGTGTGTTGGCATTCGAGGGCTGGGGTTGAATTACAAATGTAACACATACACATACAGTGAATCCCCGTAACTGAATGACAAGCAAAAGCACGAGAAATCGGTGCTACAACGACGGTGAACAATAAGTTGACCTTGTGCTATATGACATCATTTCAGCCTCTCACAGGCAGATGATAGTGACTATCGGGTATCGGGTATGGTGGTACAGTGGTTAGCACTATCGCCTCACAGTAAGAAGGTTCTGGAGTCGAAATTGACTATGGAGTTTCCATATCCTCCCTGTGCATCTGAGGGTTTTCTCCAATTATACTACCTTCTTCCCAGAGTCGAAAGACACGCAGGATAATTGGTGACTTTAAATTACCTGTAGAAGTGTCAACCCTGTGACAGATGGGTGACCTGTCCAGAGTGTTCCCTGCCTCTCACCCAGTGTCAGCTGGAGTCAGCTCCAGCCTCATAGCGACCCTCTACGGGATACACAATGTAACTAATAAATGGATGGATGATTTTTACAGATTAGAATATGCAACAGATAATAAAATATGCTTTGTTATAGATTAAGCTACCAACCATGTCCATCCAACATAGTTAAGACAAGCTCCACCTCAACCAACTACAATAATAAAAGGCTACTTACAGATTAATAAACCATTAATATTACATGAAGTATACCATTCGTGGGCCTTTTTTTAGTTTTGTAAGTGCTTCAACCTTTGATACTTAAATACATTTTGCTAATAATACTTGCATGCTTTCATTTAAATGACATTTTTGAAGCAGGACATGATGGACCAGACTGTTGGAATACTTCTTCCATAACTGGTGGAAGAAATCAAATTTCTGGGGGTAATGGTTGACGACGGATTATCCTGGAAATCTCATATTAGACATGTTCAGCATAAAATAGCTAAAAATATATCAATATTGGCAAGGGTTAGACATATGCTGGACGTTAAAGCATTGCGGATTTTGTATTGTTCATTGATTTTGCCATATTTGGAGTATGGTGTTGAAAACTGAGGAAACACTTACAGGAGTTCACTTCAACCATTGTACATATTACAGAAGAGAGCGATAAGAGTTGTGCACAAGATGGGGTATAGGGATCACACAAATGCAGTTTTCATACAGTCCAAATTGTTAAAATTCTTTGATTTAGTGGGATATAAGACTGCTGTGTTTATGTATAAGGCCAGGAACAATTTATTACCTGGTGGAATCCAAAAGTTATTT